TAATTTTTGCCAATCTGACAAAAAAATAAGTAGGCCAATATTTGACAAATAAGGCAAGAATATACAATGGGAGTAAAGCAGTCTTTCAACAAATGGTGAAAAACTAAACAGACACATGCAAAAAGATGAAACTAGACCACCAACTTATACCATATACAAGAATAAACTCAAGATAGATAAAAGATTTCAATGTAAGGCATGAAACCATAAAAAATCTTAGAGCAGAACATAAGCAGTAAAATCTCAGATATTTCATGTTAGCAATATGTTTACAGATACACCTTCTGGGGCAAAAGAAAGTAAGAAGAAAATTAAAAAGTGGGACTACATCAAAATAAAAAGTTTAATATAGCAAAAGAAACCACCATTAAAATGAAAAGGAAACCCACTCACTCTATGGAAGAACATATTTGCCAATGATACATCTGATAAGGAGTTAATATCCAAACATAAGTACTCATACAACTTAACAAAAGATGAACAACCCAATTAAAAAAATGGCAGAAGACTTGAATTACTCCAAAGAGGACATATAAATGGCCAAGAGGCATATGAAAAAATGCTCAAAGTCACTAATCATCAGAGAAATGCAAATTAAAACCACAATGAGATAACACCTCATACACGTCAGAATGGCTATTATAAAAAAAATCAACAAACAAGTGCTGGCAGGAATGTGGAGAAAAGGGAACACTAACTAGTGCACTGCTGGTGGGAATGCAGACTGGTGCAACCACTGTGGAAAACAGAATGGAGTTTCCTCAAAAAATTAAAAATGGAACTTCTGTTTGACCCAATGATCCCATTCCTGGGAATATATCTTACCCCTACACCCTGTAAAAAAATAATTAGGAAGAATATATGCACCCCTATGTTCACAGCAGCATAATTTATAGTAGCTAAGATTTGGAAACGGCTCAAGTACCCATCAGCAGATGAATGGATAAAAAAGTTGTGGGACATTTACACTATGAAATATATGCAGATGTAAAAAAGTGAGATCTCTTACCCTTTGGGACAGAATGGACTGGAAAATGTTTATGCTAAGTGAAATAAGCCAAACTGAGAAAGATAAATATCACATGATCTCACTTATTTGTGGAATCTAATGCACCAAATGAATCGACCAACAAAATAAGACCCAATGCAGGGAGGCATGGAACAGGCTGGCATGCCTCGATGTGGGGTTGGGGGACGAGAAGAGATAAACCAAATAACTTATATACTTTATGCATAGCCCACGAAAATGGGCAATAGAGTGGTGGGGGTTAGGAATAGGAGGAGGGAGGGAAGGGGGCGGTGGGTGGGAGATATCTATCATACTATCGTGTTTCCCTGAAAATAAGACATCCTCCGAAGATAAGACCTAGCGCATGGAAAGATAAGCCATCCCCTGAAAATAAGACCTAGCGCAACTTTGGGAGAAAAAATTAATATAAGACACTCTTATTTTCGGGGAAATAGGGTATCAACAATACAAATATATTTTTTAAAAATAGGTATAATTTTGCCGAAACCGGTTTGGCTCAGAGGTAGAGCGTCGGTCTGCGGACTGAAGGGTCCCAGGTTCGATTCCGGTCAAGGGCATGTACCTTGGTTGCGCGCACATCCCCAGTAGGGGGTGTGCAAGAGGCAGCTGGTCGATGTTTCTCTCTCATCGACGTTTCTAGCTCTCTATCTCTCTCCCTTCCTCTCTGTGAAAAATCAATAAAATATATTTTTTTTAAAAAAAGGTATAATTTTGACTCATTCACACCAGATGGCTATTGTGTTGACTGTTGTCATGTTTTTATTTGACAATCTAAGGGAAGAGAAGTCAGTACTCCTGGCTAGTCAGGTATTGCATGTTTTAAAAATTCTTGTGGCTCAGTAGTTGAAAAATGCCTGAGTTAGACATTCATGAGATTTGCAAAATGCCACTCTTCCCACTAATTCTTTTTGGAAAACAAGTCTATGGTTTTTTTTTTTAATTAAAATGTTATTTATATTAACATGTAATGTATAAAGGGGCCCTGAGACCAAAAAGTTTGAGAAGTAATGTACTAAAGTGATATAAAATAATTACAATTATGATAAATATAAGGCTAAATAAAATCTCCCTGTCCTATGGCAAGGCAATTATTGTAGTAATATGCATATGGTGATAATTTAGGCGACATACTGTAATTCAAGTTTAAAAGCAATAAGAAGACTCAACAAAGAAAATGGCTATAGTTTGAATGCTAACAAGCACACACACATACACATAAAGCTTAATTCCAACCTCTGAAAATTATATAATAATATTCCATTCTCAACAAATGGGGGATATGCACCAAGCTAATATTTCCAAAAAGCACTCAAAAATTCAAGTTAAAATGAAAATAATACCTTTATTTATGCTTCATTTACTACACTTACTGAACAATAACATACAAGGCAGATTATAAATTCTATGGTATCAGTTTAGTTTTCAAAATGACTGGTAATTCAGCATCTTCAAAGAACATTTCCACATATACATTTTTCTTCAAATACAAATAAATACATTCAAAGGCATATGTATGTTGGTTTATGCGGCCAAATTCAAGCTTGCAAATTCAAGCTTGCCACCATCAAATAAATTCTCACATACTTTCAATTAGCTCAGCAATTATGTTATATCTTAGGGGAATATATCTTACTTGTGGCCCTGCACATAAATCATGCACAAGTACCTTGCTTCCACTTGCCTCAGCTGGCCACCCGGCCCATCTCCTGGGCCCATCTCCTCTCGCAGCTCTCCAAAGCACGTAGCTTGCTGCCCCACCCTCCTGCAGCTCTCTGTGCTTGTAGCTCACTGCCCCACTCTCCTGCTGTTCGGTTGTTATGTGATAGCATCCAGACCAATTTGCATATTACTCTATTATAAGTATAGATTATAATGTGCACAGGGGCTAACCAAGTGTCACATCACAGTGCTGAACTCATCTGATTAGCAAAAGAAAGAGAAAATAAAAAGATCACCTATACAAATATATATTGTATATAATGAGCAAGAAATAAAGTGGGGAACAAAGGAATTTAATACTCACTTTTGAACCTCAAATGTCATTAAGAAAAGGATATTAACTCTGAAGAATGAAAACCCATCCTTTTGTCATTAATAAGTCACCCTACTTAAAAACCACTCTTTAAAAAATACCTTTAGAGTACTAGTAATTCTTAGGAGAAAAATAAAGTATTTCAACACGTTTGCTTTAACAAGCCCATCATTATATGCCAGTCCAGTACTAGACACAGAGAAGCATGAGGCATGGTGCCCTGCCCACAAGGGTTGATTAAGGGACAAAATAAGTATGCAAACCTTAGTGCCATACTAGTCCAGATGAAGGAAGAACCAACAAAGATTAGAGCAGTAAAGGGAATGATCGTTATGACTGTAAAAGGTAAACAAATCTCTGGGTGAAGAAAATCAAAAGGAAATCAGGAAACTACTATAAAAAATAAGGGATTCCAGCAGAATGATCTAGAAGAGAGTGGAGAGGTTGGTGAAGTTTTTAAAGGACTACTTTGGGCTAAATGGGATAAAGAAATGTATATGTGTGATTTTTACTACGGAAATCACCAAATGAGGCAACTGACTACATGTTAGAATAAGAGGAGATTAATAATTATTATGGGCAATTATATTGGCCACAAATATATTATAGATAAAAATATGGACAGGTGGAGAATAAAAGAATAAAGAAATGAATCTGATTTCATATCTTCAAGATTTAGTTGATAAAGAAAACCAAGTGGATTTTTGTTAAATAAGCTGAAGATGGCACTGGACATCAGATGAGGGACTAGGCTTTTGTCACTGCTACCACCCTGGTCCAGGTTTCTGTCTTCTCTCCCCTGGATTACTGCAATAGTCTCCAACTTCTACCCTTGCCTCCAATGTCACTTGTCATGGGCTAACCAGAGTGAGTCTTTATAATGTAAATCAGATCCAATCACTATTCTGTTCAAAACCCCCCAGTGGCTCCCCATTTCAGTCAAAGTAAAATCTAAAATCCTTAAAATGATTTACAAATTCCTTCATGATCTGCCACCACCAATCCCCTTACTCTCTCCAATCTAATAGCCTACTACTTATTCTTCCCCCTTGCCCCTCTATCCCACCCACACTGACCTCCTTGCTACTCCTAGAGCATGCCAGGCTTGCTTCCACTTTAGGGCAAATGTGTTACCTCTGTCTTGAAAACTTCTAGTTGGCTAATTCTACATGGCTAACTCTTTCAAAGGCATTCAAGACATTGTTTATACCCCATCTTCTCAATATGGGCCCAACCAAACCAAACTATTAAAAATCACAAGCTCTACTCTAATACTCCCGATCCCACTTCCCTCTTTTTCCCCAGAGAATTTATACCTTATTATCGGTGACAGAACTTACTCATTATATTTGTTTGTTGCCGTTATTAAAATGAAAATACCAGGAAGGCTGAAATTTTGGTTACTAGAGTATCTCAAGTCTAAATGAAAGAGGGCCTGCAAAAATCCCGACAAATGGCATGTACCTTGGTTGTGGGCATATCCCCAGTGGGGGATGTTCAGGAGGTAGGTAATCTATGTTTCCCTCTCACTGATGTTCTTCTAACTCTATATCCTTCTCCCTTCCTCTCTGTAAAAAATCAATAAAATACGTTTTTAAAAAGTTATAACTGCTGAATATCAATTTACCAAATCAGGCAAGGATGACCTTATCTTGGCAAAACTCAAAATACTGTTTCTTCAACATCCTACAAGACATCTTGATGTACCACATTTTCCCATCTGCTTTGTTCTATTTCTTTATGCCCCAAGTGGAAATTAAACTGTTCAAGTAACAGCCAAAATTCATCAATCATGGTAAAGAGAAATAGCATGATATGAATAATAGAGGTAGAACAATAAGTAGAACAGCCTTGGTAATGACCTTAGAGTGCATGTTGAGACAGAAAATCTATTCAACATGTACAGGAATCACATTAAATAATTCTATTCTCACTTACCTGATGAGCTCTCAGTAAATACTGTTAAAGTCTGTCCTCCAACACTTTGCAAGACAAATGGATGTTCTCTAGGAGCACTTACTGAAGCTGGTTTTCCACCAATATCATGAATATTTGCAAGATCTTCATTCAAAGTAAATGACACCTAATAGACACATTAAGTAAAGCTTATTACAATAGACTTTTGTATTCAAAGTACAGAAATTCTGATAAGTCAAATAATTTTGTGTGTGAATTTCTTCCAGTCATTTAAGGATTTTTTTAAACTTCATCCAAAATTTTAATACTTTAGTCATAAAAAGAGACTACTCCCATTTGTCAGAGTAATGGGACTAATCTACCATTATAAATGCAAATAGCTTTCAAATATTTTCTCTCGTCTATGGCTGAAGAAATTCTATTTCCAAAATAGGAATATGTTTACCCCTAAGTTCTCTGAGGTCAAGAGACCATGCTTTGTTATATTTATATCCTTAAATTATATACATCTCCTAGATAGTGCCTAGCACAGAGAAGGAAAACAGTATTTGCTGAATGAGTGAATATTTAAAGTAAATTAAGAAAGCAATTGTGAAGGGGAAAAAATGAGCTACTTAGAAAGCTTAAACATTCCCATAAGCAGAGGATACATTTCCTTTTTAGGTCTTAGTAACTAACTACTGTGATTACATGGTGCTGTTTTATTTTTGAATACTTTAATAAGTACAACTGAATTTTGACAAGAATAATTTAATGTTGAGGTTTAGGGAAAAAAGACATAGTATGCATTCTTTCAGAATGATTTTTACCACATACTAGATCTCACCAAAAAGAGATCTATTATGTAGTATCAAATATTACATCGAAGGGATTTATAAACAAACAAAATACTGATCTCCCAATCATGGAGGAAGATTATGCACCATTTATTAACTATCTCTCTGCTGTGTGATAGGTACTGAAAATTATGTCCTAGACTTAATGGGTCAAAATCTAAAGCCCTCAAAGATCCAAATCAAATGTCTATGCCACACTGAAATAATGTTAAAATATTACTGAAGTAATACTAGCTTCTGTAAACACTGAGAGAGGGCATATTTTAGATCAAAGTAGAAAAATGCTAGGAAGGAACAACTAAAAAGGAGTCCATTCATTCACACACAAGGGGCATTTATACTACTACTAGTGGCCTGGTGCATGAAATTCGTGTGTGTTGGGGGGGAGGGGTGTCCCTCAGCCTGGCCTGTACCCTCTCTAATCTGGGCATTCCTCTCACAATCTGGGATGACTGGCTCCTAATCTCTCGCCTGCCTGCCTGATTGCCCCTAACCACTTCTATCTGCCATCCTGATCAGTCCCTAACTACTTCCCTGCCAGCCTGATTGACATCTAACTGCTCCCCTGCCCGCCTGATCGCCCCCAACTGCCCTCCCCCACCAGCCAAATTGCCCCCAACTGCCTTTCCCTGCCAGCCCAATCATTCCCAACTTCCCTCCCTAGGTGGCCCGGTCGCCCATAAATGCCCTCCCTTGTCATGACCTGCCTCCTCTGCCAGGCCCCTCCTCTGCTCTGTGCGTGGCCATCTTGTGGCAGCCATCTTGTGATGACATCGTGCATGAGGGCCACCTAGGCTTTTATTAGTATAGATGTGTTCCTGGCCATTAGCACTAGTTTGATGTGGAGTTTTCCAGAATACAACCACCCTCTCTTTGCTATTACTAATGCATAGTAAAATAAACATATCCTATCTAATAAAAGAGTAATATGCAGATTGACCATCACTCCAACACACAAGATGTGTGGTCAAAGATCCTGCCCCCATGTGGACACAAAATGGCCAGCAGAGGAGGGCAGTTAGGGGTGACTAGGCTGGCAGAGGACAGAAATTGGGGGCGTCCGGGCCTGCAAGGAAGGGCAGTTGGTGGGGGGGACCCAGGCCTGCAATGGAGAGCAGTTGGGGAGAGGGACCAGGCCTGCAGGGGAGGGCCGGGGGGGGGGGGGGGATCAGGCCTGCAGGGCAGGGCAGTTGGGGGGGACCAGGCCTGCAGGGGAAGGCCTTTAAGGGCAAACAGGCTGGCAGGGGAGCAGTTAAGCATCAATCAAACTGGCAAGGGAGTGATTAGGGGGTGATCAGGCTGGCAGGCAGAAGGGGTTAGGGGCAATCAGGAAGGCAGGCAGGCACGCAGTTGGGAGCCATCAGTCCTGGATTGTAAGAGGGATGTCCCACTGCCCGTTTAGGCCTGATCCCAGGGAGCAAACGGACACCCCTTGAGGGGTCCCAGATTGGAGAGGGTGCAGGCTGGGCCCACCCTCCATGCACAAATTTCGTGCACCAGGCCTCTAGTGTTTTAAATAAAGTTTAAACAGAAATAATCTTACCTCAGTCCTTCCTTGATTCCTTAAAGAGAAAAAAGGAAAAAATTTTAATTCATGTTTTTTCTTCCAAATTTATGCTGAACATTTAAAGAAATAACACCACTGCATATTTACCCATGACTCTCCTCAACTATCCTATCTGTAATTCTACAAGAAAAACAAGTCTCATTAATCCATATGAGTATTTTATTAGAAGTTTGTGTCACTTCATACTATTACGACCTGCCCTAATAATATGTTATCCAAATAATGACCTGATTACAATTCTTATCTTTATTTCTGAACAATTTTTAGCATTCAAGAGAATGTGAATATATGTTTAATACAGATATATGTATTACTATTTACGGTATTTCGTTTAGCTAAAGATGTTTCATTTACCAAACAATATCTTAAAAATCAAAATTTAATTTAATAATACTTTAAAATTACAAGCAATTTTCTACACTATAAAAACAATATACGGTCTGGCCTGTGTAGCTCAGTGGTTGAGCATCAGCCATGCACAAAGAGGTCAGAGATTCAATTCCAGGTCAGGGCAAATGCCAAGGTTGCAGGCTTGATCTCCAATAGGGGGCATGCATGAGGCAGCCAAATGATGATGTTTCTCTCTCATCGATGTTTCTATCTCTCCCTCTCTTTCTATTAAAAATCAATAAAAACATATTAAAAACAACAACCCCCAAACATAAACATATAGACAAGTCAAAAGAAATTTTAAGATAGCCATAATTCCACTGTTAACATCTTGATACAATAAATATCCTTCCAGACTATTTATGTGTTTTAATGACATTTTTAAATGTCTTTTTTTTTTTTTTTTTTTACAAATCTGGAATCAATGTAGACTCCACACAGTAGCCCAATTTTAAAAAACATGTATTAAATTCTTTTTTAAAAAAATATATTTTATTGACTTTTTTTTTTACAGAGGAAGGGAGAGGAAGAGAGAATTAGAAACATCTATGAGAGAAAAACATCCATCAGCTGCCTCCTGCACCCCCCCCACTGGGGATGTGCCCGCAACCAAGGTACATGCCCTTGACCGGAATCGAACCCGGGACCCTTCAGTCCCCAGGCCGAAGCTCTATCCACTGAGCAACACTGGCGAGGGCTGTATTAAATTCTTACTATATGCAAAATATTAAGTACAATGTCTCTGTCTCCAGCCAGAAAATATAAAAGTTATTAACATTTAATTAAGAGAGCCACATGTGCCAGGATCAGATGAACTGAGTGAGGGATGAGGTCAAGAGTATGGGAGCATTCCAGGCTGAGAATATTCCATTTGAACACTAGAAATGAGAAATTATCTAATACACTCTTCCAAACATCAATGCATAGGCTGGAGTCAAGTGGTAAAGAGCCTCTTAGACCAGACTAAGGTGTCTAGAATCTTAAGACAGATTTTACTGGAAGACTTCTCAAAGTCTTTAATATATTAAAATGCAATGTCAATCTACTTTTGTTGGAGAAGTATCTAGAATACAGGTGAAGAAATTTTAAGATTTCACATACGAATATGAATTTCCAGCTTCTCTTAAAGATTTGAAAGGTTTGGCAACAATGTACCTCTAATTCAGCTCTCAGTAAATACAGATAGGCAGGCACTGAATTCACTACAGTCCCTTCCCTATCACCCCAGAACTTGGCTTCTTGAGGCATTTAATTTAGCTACCTTTAAGAGTGAGGCACTGTAGGTAGAGCAAAGGCAAAGATGCAGAACATACAGTATTTGCATAATTTTTACTGAATTGATTTGAGGCTAATGCAAAAACCCAGGTAAAAAGTAATGAAAGCTTGAACCCAGTTATGGTAGAATGCAAGGAGGGTTGCACAGGAGCCAACTAGAAAAAGTTTCCACTGGCTAAATTTTGGACAATTTGAACATCAGAATAAATGATGATGATAACAAACCATAGTCCACTGAATAAAACTGGGACCCTTAAGTTTATACTAAAATCCTATACAGTGGTGCCTCACACAACGAACTTAATTCGTTCCAGGAGCAAGTTTGTTATGCGAAAAGTTCGTTATGTGAAACGTGTTTTCCCATAACAATACATGTTAAAAAAAATAATTCGTTCTGTAGCATAAAATATGCTAAGATGACATAAAAAAAGATAAATTTTTTGTTATTATTTTTATTTAGATACATCTAAAAACATATTTTTTTTAAAAAAAAACACACACATTTTTTTAATTTTAAGACAGACTAAGTAGAGTCTACCGAATCTTGCACATCTTCATCCATTTTCTGCTTTTTGGCCGATGGTTTCATGAAAAACCTGTCCAAAGTCGTTTGTTTTTCTCTTTTCTCCAAAATCTGCCGGAAATAACGGACAAGAGTATCGGAGTAAAGATCGTTGATCCTGTTTGCTTCAGCTGAATCCGGATAGTGGGCATTGGTAAACACCTGAACTGCTTTCCATTTGACCAGGATGTTCTTGATGTCAGCAGTTGGGATTGGTTGATTGTTTGATTGTTGCTCCTCGTTATCAGATGACGCTTCCCTTTGAGCATTGTCCTGTTGCTGGACCAGAAGTGCTTGGAGCTCTTCAGTTGTCAGCTCTTCTTCGTGTTCCTCAATAAGCTCCTCTACATCCTCTTCCTCTACCTCTAATTCACTCCTTCTAATTATTTCCTGTTTCATTTCAACAGAAATCACCTTCCTGCTTTTTTTTTAGAAGCTATGATATAAAAAAAATATTGAGTTTAACTTAAAAGGACGACTGCTGTGATACGTGCGTGATTTAATTCGTAATGAAGAACGATTGCCGCGATACGTGCTTAAGTTAAGCGCAGTGACTAACGACTGCCTGCAGTGCCTGCGCGGAAGGATGCAATACATCGGCAGCGATCGTGGAAGCTCGGGCGAAGCAGTTGTGGAAGCTCGGGCAAAGCGGTCGTGGAAGCTCGGGCGACTTCGTTGTGTGAAACGAAGTTCGTTGTATGAATCATGAAATGAAGTTCGTTGTGTGCAGCGTTCGCTGTGCGAGGCGTTCTTTATGCGAGGCACCACTGTATAATAAAAGCCCTATATAATAAAATTCCCAGAACAGTGGAATGACCACAATGACCAGTTGCTATGATGCGCATTGACCACCAGGGGGCAGATTCTCAATGCAGAAACTGCCCCCTGGTGGTCAGTGCACTACCACAGTGGGAGCACTGCTCGGCTGACCAGGATGACGGGCTGTTCCAGGGGCAAACCCCAAGCCAATAGGCAGGAATCCCTCTTCAGCCACAAGATTCTCTTATAAGAAATTCTGGTGGTTTACTTTCTCTTCAACTACTTTTGAGGAAACTGATTTGAATACAGCATTTCAAGTTACCTCTACTGCGGATCTTATTTTTAAGAGAATTGAAAGACTGGAATGAGAAAAACAAGGAATAGAAGTACTGGTCATATACCCTAGCAAGAGAGAGAAAAAAACACACAAAATATTCTATCTGTATGGGGTTGGGTGATCCCTAGAAGTATCAATAATGTTCAGCTGATACAATCAAACTGGTATTACATGAAAGAACACACACACACACACACACACTTGTTAATATATTACATGCAACTATATAAACCACCTGCTTTAAACTAAGAGAGAAAAAGAGCTTGGAATATTATTTTCATTTCTTTTTGTTCCTGTTATTAATTCTCACCCAAGGATATTTTTTCCCTTTGATTTTCTTAAAGAGAGTTGAAGGGTGGGGGGAGAGACAAGAGAAAGAGAAACATCAAAGTTAGAGAGACATATCCATTTGGATGCCTCCACATGTACACTGACTGGCATGGAGATGGAGTCTGCAACCAAGTTATGTGACCTTGACCAGAATCAAACCTACAACCCTTCAATCCATGGGCTGACACTCTCACCACTGTGCCAAACTGGCTAGGACTTTTCTATCAAGCAATGGTTGATAAAGAAAAACTGCACACCATTATTACTTATTTTCCATGATATCTTTAATATTTTACTTTAATAATCAAAATAGTACTTAGGGTTTGCCTAGCTTTCCCAGAACCTTGGTTCATTTTTTTTTCTGTTTCTCATAACAGACCCCTCCTCCCCACAGCAAAAAAACAATTTTACATTCCTCAAGCAGGTATTTTCTTTATTCAGAGGTTTCAGAAATGCAATTTTCATGGTAAAAAAAAAAAAAAAAAAAAAATCTATATAAAAGGCTAATATGCTAAGTGTGTGTCCGAGTAATGATATCACATAGCAACTTTAGCTTTCTCTCCCTAGTGACCAGCCTCCTTGCAGTTTCTTCAGCCCAGGAACACCACTTGCTTTATAGCCAAGTGCAAACATTTCATACTGTAACCAAATGTCTGTGAAGCATTTTCCCATGCCTCATCTCATTTGACCCTCACAAGAAGTCCTGGAGTAGGTAGATAGGAGACTTGGTGGAATCCTATTTTCTTTTTGGAAAACAGAGATTCAGAAAGCTTAGAAACTTGACCCGACTGAAAAGAAGAAATGGTGTAACTTGAAAATGCTTTCATGTTTTCTCACTGCATAAAATATAGTCAAACACTGCTGCAGTTAAATGTTTTACCCTTTGTTCTCCTTGCATGATCTACACTGCTTTGTGTTGATATTTACTGCTGTGTTGCTGACAATTACCTGAAAGAGAAGTTGGGGTGCTTCACTGACTGGAAAAAGTTTAGCTACATCAGAAAGCAGGTCTAATTAAGCAAGTTTATTCTATATCTACAAAAAGCTAAGTTGACTGGCGCATGAGCAATACATATAAAGCTCTTGCTGCCGCCAATCTCACGCATGTTTCGATCTGTCATTGTTGATTGTGAATTTGGTTGACTCTTCTGTTATAGAGAAAGGACAAACAGTGATATTAAAATATCTCTTCTAATTAATTTCCTTTTAATGTGCATGATTTTGTGTATTGGGCCACTAATAAATAAAGTGAAAAAAATAAATAAATAAAAAGTACACCTCCTCACAGGATGTGGAAAGGATGGAGAGATGAGGGAACTGCGTACTCTGCTGCTTTACTGCCAATAAGTTTTCCTCATACATTTGACTTTATATTTACACCTATCAGTAGGGGGGCAGTGCAAGTGTGTTTGTGTATGTACACGTGTGCACACATGGCTCCCTACAGGGCATGTAACCATTTCTTGACTAACTTTGACATGCTCATTACTTCCCATTTTCCAGGTAAAATTCTGAAGAGGACTGAAATTCCATTTTTTAAAAATAAATTTCAAACCAAATTCCAAAGAATGACAATTTTTAAAAATATTTTTTTATTGATTTCAAAGAGGGAGGGGGAGGAATAGAGAGATAGAAACATCAATGATGAGAGAGAATCATTGATCGGCTGCCTCCTACAAGTCTCCTACTGAGGATTGAGCTCACAACCTGGTCATGTGCCCTTGACCGGAATCAAACCCGGCACCCTTCAAACCACAGGTTAATACTCTATCCAGTAGCAAAACTGGCTAGGACTGTAATTTCATTTAAAAGTACTTATGAAAATATTTTAAACAGTTTTTTAAAATGTCAAAAATATATAAACAACTTACTTGGCAATCCGCAGTTTTCCAACTTCACCTCTTCCAGGGGCTTTAGCCCACTGCTGTGACAAATATTTAGGAACCTAAAAAAAGGTAAAATACTAATTAGACTAGGTTTTAAACACTAACAAATCTTTTTTTATTTTAATTCTTTCTTGATGAAAGTATTACATATGTCCCCTTTTCTTCCCTATTGATCTCCTTCAGCCTGCCCCCCACCCCCACCCAGGCCTTTAGCTCCTATTATGTGTCCATGGGTTATGCATATATGTATTCAAGGTCTTCGGTTTATTACCTCTTACCTACCCCCTCACCCACCTTCCCTCTGAAATTCCACACTCCATTTCATTCTTCATGTTCTCTGCATCTACTCCACTCATCAGTTTATTTTGTTACTTAGATTCCACATGAGTGCAATCATGTGGTACTTGATACTCTCCTTTTGTGCTAATAACAATCTTTATAAACATAAAAATAGAGGCCCGGTGCACGTAATTCATGTACAGGGACGGGGTGGGGGGGTCCCTCTGCCGGCAGCCTCTCTAAGGGCCCAGCACGCTCTCTAATCTGGGACCCCTCGGGTCTGCTAGCTCCTAACCACTCACCCTCCTGGTGCCCTTATCCCCCTAACTGCTCTCCCCTAATGGCCTGACCCCCCTAATTGCTCTCCCCTTCTTGCCTGATCACCTCTAACCACCTCTGCCCTAGCCCTGCCACCATGGCTTTGTTTGGAAGGTCGTCCGGAAGATGTACAGTCTAATTAGCATATAATCCTTTTATTAGTATAGATAGATGCCACCTTGTCCTAAAAATGCAGGTTAGCAGGTTTTCCTATCATGGAAGGGGAACCCACAGTGGCATCCTGGGTTCTGACCAGGGTGTATGCATTCATGCTTTATCTCAGCAGATGAGATTCCTAGAAGACTCTTGGCTGTACTTTGAACATTTCTATCGATTTTACCAAATCCTCCAAAAATGATGAACCACTTTAAACTCCCACCAGCAACCATGCATGTGCCCTCTGTCCTACTTTTATGCCAATATCATTGATTTCTCCCTAGAAGCTCCCCTCTCCTCAGCTGGGTCTGCTTGGCCAAAGGGTTTTTATAATAGAGATGCCCTAAGACTTCCTCAATAACAGTACCAGGTGTACTGGTTAATAATGACGGATTTTGTAATCAAAGAAAACACGGTAATTTCAGAAGAAACATCAAAAATGCTTTATTCAAAGTAATGTCCATCACTAGCTACACATTTCCCCATCTTTTAGGTAATTTGTGGATACTGTCCCAATAGAACAACTCTTGTTTTGAGGAAAACCATTCAGAGACCCAATTTTCCACTTCTTCGTACATTTTGAAGTGCGGCTCGGAAAGATCAGAACAAGTGGTAATCTGAAGGAACAAGGCCTGGTGAATACAGTGGGTGAGTTAATACTTCCCAGGCAAGATCTTTTAATGTGTCTTTAACTGGTTTTGAAGTATGTGATGGTGCATCATCATGAAGCAAAATTACTTTGCTGTGTCTTCTGGAACATTCTGGTCGTTTTGCTATCAAAGTGTGGTTCAAATTGATTATTTGTTGTCGGTAGCAATTAGTATTAACTATTTCACCTGGTTTTAGAAGCTCATCATACACCACACTTTCCTGATTCCACCAAACACAAAGCACTGTCTTCTTTCCAAAGTGTTTTGGCCTTGCACTTGATGATGATGGTTGATCTGGATCAACCCATGATTTTTTGCACTTGGGATTCTTAAAATAAATCCACTTTTCATTGCCAATCACAATTCGATGCAAAAAAGACTTTCTTTCAAGCCACTGAAACAACATTTTACTGATGACTTTTCGCTTTTCCATTTGTCTTTTGTTTAATTAATGTGGCACCCATTTTCCTTCCTTTAAAATCTTTCCCATTGCATAAACAATCAGAAATTGTTTGCTGAGCAACGTTTAATGTTTCTGCAAGTTGTTTTGATTTTGATACACATACTCATCCAATAATGCTTGTAATTGTTGGTTTTCAAACTTTTTCAGTTGACCTGATTACATCAGAAAAATAAGGGGGAGAGCAAGTAACACTTAGAGTGCTTATTGAATGTGGCAGGGACTCTAAGATGCCCTCTCCTCCCACCCACCCCACCCCCATATTCACACCATTGTATAATCTCCTCTGCTTGAGTGAGAATGGGACCTGTGACTTGCTTTTTTCTATTCAATACAAAGGTGGTAGGATGTTACTTCTGTGATTAGGTGGCTGCAGTCCTGCTTCCTGCTGTTGATTCCTTGTAAGTTATTCTTTATTTCAGTTAGTGTATCCTTCATTTCTGACTGGTCCTTTTTTATGCTGTGGACTAAGTTCATTGAGCAATGTTATAACCAGTGTTTTAAGCTCTGCATCTAGTAGATTGTTTCCAGTTTGTTTAGTTCTTTTCTGGTGCTTTGTTCTGTTCTTTCATTTGGGCAACCTCTCTGTGTTTGTTTCTATGTATTAAGTAGTGCTGCTATGTCTCACAGGCTTGGTAGCATGAACTAAGTAAGTGTCCTGAAGGGTCAGTGGCACAGCTTCCCCGATCACCTGAGCTGGGTACTTGAGTTTTTCTTTAGCTGCTCAGATACAAATGTGGAAGAGGAATAATATAGTATGTCCATGAGTAAATCACTCCCATTGATGTACCAACAGCAATAAAGGCTCAACTACAACAGGAGAGTGTAAAGCCCACATGGGAGGTGGAGGTGGAGGGGTCAGAACACATCTTAAGGACTGGCTATGACCATAAGCCACCAACCTCTGACCACTGTGGAGGATCAGCTGTGCAGGGACCTACTATGCAGAGTAGAACTTAACCTCTGCAGGGCTCTAGTGTCTGCTGAGTCTGCCCCTTGAGTATGTTGCTTGTGGAGGTGGTTGGGTGGTGGTGCTTCAACATGGTCTGAAGCTGTCCATTGGGTATTCTGGCTCTGGAGCCTCATGGGCGGTGCAGGTCAAGGTCAGCTACTACCTGGGTTCTGCCCAGGAGTACCTGGCATGAACTACAAAGTGTTCTGCAGACAGTTGCTTCTTGTGCTGGGCTTGGAGATGCCCAGGCCAAGCTATGAACCAAGGCAGGCCTCTGCTAGTGCCAAGCCTGGGCCACTTAGTGAGATGTACAGGGCTCATGAGGCCAGCCGCTGCCTATTGATGAGATTTAAGGAAAATCTGAAGCATGAGCCAAGACAGGCCATTGGTATGGAAAAGCCACTAGAAACAGTTTGGATGGGACTGGAAATTGGATGGAGTGGGGCCAACAGTGTGAGCCAGGTTGATGAAGTCGCAGATATGGCTCCCCATCTGCTAGCTTTGTAGGGGAAGGGCTCATCAAAGGAACAATGGCTTCTGCTAGCACTTGTGTCAGGGAGAAAGCTACCCCTCCAGTCTCCAGTCTCCAGTTCTCACCCAGAATTGATTCACCAAACAATTCCGTTCTTCTCATGCATCTCAGGTGCCTTTCAAGCTGCTGCCCTCACTCCCCACGCTGTAACTCACCTATTTTGCAACAAATGATCCCGAAAGATCAGAACTCAGGTGTTATTTATAACTAGAGGCCCGGTGCACGAAATTCGTGCATGGGACGGGCACTGTCCCTCAGCCCAACCTGCACCCTCTCCAATCTGGGACCCCTTGAGGGATGTCCGACTGCCTTTTAGGCCTGATCTATAAAAAAATCAATAAAATATATATTTTCAAAAAGAAACATTTAAAATTCCTCCATATCTGCCTGGCTGGTGTGACCCCAGGCTGCCACCACTGAAGGGGATTAGCCCTGGCCAGGCTGAGACCCCAGCCCAGGCTGCCTCCGGGGCCAGGGGATAGCGCAGTGCTGGTGCACGGCCCCAGACCAGGCTGCTGCCACTGGCCTGAAGATTGCGCCCCAGGGATGCATGGCCCTGCCAGCCTGAGACTCCAGCTGAGGCTGCTGCCCTGGCCAGGGTATTGCGCAGCTTGAATGCAAGGCCCTGCAGGTCTGAGACCCCAGCCCAGGCTGCCACCGCTGGCCAGGATCAGCCGGGATTGTGCCCAGCACTGGCGCCTCCCAGCTGGACACACCGGGCTGCTGCCACTGGGCAGGGATTGCTGCGTGGGGGGGCAGGCGCCCGCTGGCTGGACTTGGGGACTCCGGCAGGGCTTAAAGGGCTGGGCGCTGCCATTTTTATCTCTGAGTGATGGTTAATTTGCATATTACTTTTATTAGATAGGATGAGAAATATTAACATGTATGGCACAGCAATTCTCAACCTTTTTTATCTTATGGCACACATAAACTAATTACTAAAATTCTACAACACACTAAAATATATACTTTTTGCCGATCTGACCAAAAAAAGGTATAATGTTCATTTACAAAAGATAATAATAGTAATTACCTATCCTTTTGCTCCAAAGTGATTTTTAAAAAAAATCAGATGCCTATACTTCTATTAATCTGGTACCAAGAATTAACCAATCAGGCTCAAGCTTAATACGCAATTCTATTATATGACCTATATATTTATGGTTCAAGACAGGGCATTCACACCAGACAATTATTGTTGTATTGTCATTTTTTTAATATGACAATCTTTTAAGGGAAAAAGAGGTCAGTGCCCTGACTAAATAGTCTGGTATTGCATGTTCATAAAAATTTTTGCAGCACACAAGTTGAAAATTGCTAGTATAGAGAAAAGACTTGAAAGTGGTATATGGTTCTGTTCACTTTCTAAACAAATATTGTATTTTAATATCACACAAAAGAAGCTGAAAATGAAATTCACTATTACAATTTGATTCAGTCACATAATTTATTCCTATAATTCAGAGGTGAAAATCCAGTATGCTCAAGATATGGGCATAAAAATCACACTGGATGTTAACAGCAGTGGAAATGAAACAAGTACAAACCAGAAACTCCTTAAACTAGAGCAGACTTCAGAGTTGTCAAATAAAGGTGGAAGAAGAATGGATTTTAGAAGAAAAAGTGCTTGCTAGCAATTCTTGTCTTCTTTCAGAGATAAGGTTGAATGAGGACAAAAACTGGCAAGAAAGTCCTTTCACAACACCCTGGAAAGATTTGCAAACCTGTTATGTATTTTCTTTTTATTGTTAATTCTCACCATAAGCTATTTCTTTGCCATTGATTTTTAGAGTGTGCAAGGAGGGGGAGAGACAGAGAGAGCGAGAGAAACAACAATGTAAGAGAGACATCATATTAGTTGCCTCCCACCTGTACCCTGATCAGGGCTGGGAATCATGCCTGCAACTGAGGTACGTGACCTCGACCAGAATCAAACCCAAAACCCTTCAGCCAGAGGGCCAACACTCTAACTACTGAACAAATCTTCTTTGATACATAAGATTAGAAAAAGAAATACTGTATGCCAAGTTGATATGCGGAAACAATGATAATGCAAACAATAAACAATGAAACATTACAACTACCTTTATAAAACAAGAACAAATCACTGGCTTGAGTTCTTTTTAAAGAGACAGAATGTGTTCAAATGGCGATACGCCTATGAGATCACAACATTTTTTTAACTTCTTCATTTTATATTTATTACATTCTTTCACATTCTCGTTTAGTCAATCACTAGATCCTAACAACTTAAAAAGTTTCTCTAAATTCTCAAATTTCATTATCACACCAGAGGCCCGGTGCACGGATTCGTGCACTGGTGGGGGCATGGCCTGTGGGGACTGGCCTGCTGTGGGAGCACCACTCATCCAAGCGGCTGTGGACCTGCCCTCTGAGCAGCTGCTGAATGAGGAAATTAGTCTGAGCCGCTATTTTGGGGTAATATCTTGGGTAAAGGTCTGTTCTGTGTCCTGGAGGAACCTGGCAGAGCGCTTTGTGCCCCAAAGCCACTCGGTGAATGTCCTTGACGTGTGATGCCAGGTGGGGGATGTTCAGGACAGCCATGCTCCAGTATCCTCAATCATCAGGACAGCCTCCCTGGGGGGTCCACATTCATGTCCTCTCTTGCCATCCACTCATGCCAGCTCCCCCCCCCCTCTTTCTAGAACATACCTTAGAGTACCTGCATCAGCTGGTGGGGTCAGGACAGAGTCTGGGTTGTCTCAGGTATTTGACAGGTACAGAGACTTGGCCTCACCCTAGGTCTATTAGTGGCTGCTCCCACTGTGGGAGCAGCCGCTCATTCTTGTCAGCCAAGCAGCACTCCCACTGTGGGAGTGCACTGACCACCAGGGAGCAGCTCCTGTGTTGAGCATCTACCCCAAGCTGTTGGTCATTCTGGTCATTCTGCTTTTATATATAGCAGAATGTCATTTTATATATAGCAGAATGCCCATATCTTGAGCATACTGGATTTTCACCTCTGAATTATAGGAATAAATTATGTGACTGAATCAAATTTTATATAAAGTCACTAGGCTTTTATATATATAGATACCTATAATCCTATATACTAAAACCCTAATATGCAAATCAACCAAATGACAGAACTGGTCACTATGTGCGGGGCCTAAGCTGGAAGGTGAACATCTCCTGAGGGGTCCTGGGCTGAGAGAGGGTGCAGGCCAAGCTGAAGAACCTCCTCCCCCTGTAATCATCGATCGGCTGCCTCTTGCACACCCCCCACTGGGGATGTGCCCACAACCAAGGTACATGCCCTTGATCGGAATCGAACCTGGGACCCTCAGTCCGCAGACCGATGCTCTCTCTATCCACTGAGCCAAACCGGTTTCGGTCACATTTTCAAGTCTTACTGAGGTAGCTGTGAGAAGTCAAACGAGTGCCAGAGACTAAGGTTAGATTTGAAAAGTAAGGCATCATTCATCCATTCATCACATATCTGTTGAGCAATCACTACGTAACATAATTCTGGGCTTGACAGGCAAGGAGCCTATGCTCATGGAATGTGCGGAGGTGTGTAAGCATCAGGAGAGGGAGGTGACCGACACTGAACACATGAACACAGAATCACTTCAGAAGTGAAAAGTACTTTGAAGAATACCAGGTATGACTTGCTGGCAAATGAGCTATTTTAGAAATGTGGACTGGAAGGGCCTCTCAGATCTACTTGATAACCCAGCCATATGATAAAAGTTTTTTAAAACTTAAACCATTTTACTGGAGGTTCAAAGACTCATAATCGCATTTTGGACATACATATATCTTGTGAAATCCTCATAAGAAACAACACTCACCGATGTGAAAAAAGTAAAGCACAAATACTGTGCTCACTAAGAGCTAATCAAGATTGCTCTCTTTACAAAAAACTTTTCTTGCCGGCCTGTCTCAGGAGACCCAGCCAGTACTCTGAAAGAACCCTCAAATCCATTGGCTTCCCCTCCTCCCCCAGCCCCCTGCCCCCGTGAGCTCAGCGTTCCCTCGGCTCTCCTGAGATCTGCAGCAAGGGCCGTCGACCCAGGAGAACGCAGAGAGCAGTTCCACTTTCTGGCAGAGAAATCCTACAGGAAGCAGACACTCCTGACTTCCTTTACAGGTTTATGACTGAAATCAGTTTCACCAGAAGAAGATGTAGACATTCTTCAGCCTGGGGTAACATGCACCGCTCAAATCGGGACCCCAAGACAGAGCCCCCAGAAAACCCAGGTCATGGGGGATGGAGATCCATTCCAGGCACGTTCGGACTCGGGCTGAAGACACTGTGGTTCCCTAAACTAATTTCCTTGTCAGAAAGCGAGCTTAGCAATGAATCATGCCTCTCCAGATAGGTGAAAAAATGACCATAAAGAACTTTAAAAGGTGCACGAAATGTGAGTCTCAGGTAACTTAAACCACTCACACCAGGAGAAGCGCGAGCCTCACCTTGACCAGCCACACGCCGGTGTTCTGCTTGGCGCCGGTCAGGTCGAGTTCCCCGCGCTCGGCCATGAGGGTCTGTTGCCGGAAGCGGAGTGCGACCCCCCGCAGGGCTCCGGGGGCCAGGGGTTGGGGGTGTGGAGGCCGGGGGCGAGTGTCAGAAGCACGACGCGAGCCGAGGTGAGAGGCCGACACTTCCGCGCCCACCTGCCAAGAAGGTGGAAACCCTGGGAAAGAGGAACACGCCGCCGGGAGCCGGGAACTGCGCATGCGCACTTCCACCGGCAGTACGGCTCGCCGGTGCGGACAAACTTCCTGTCGGCAACTCTTTGAGTGGGCGTGGCTACGGGTGTTGGCTGTGTCCCAGTATTTAAACAGAGAGGCTGGCCAAAAAAAAGGTCGGCTGTGCATTTAAAGACTAGACCAACAGAACTGCAAGAGGAAAGTGTCAAGTCAGAAAAATAGAGCTCAAACAAAGACTGTCAATACCTGTGAAACCTGGCCAAGGAGAAACAGCATTGGGAGGACAGTGTTGTAGTAATAAGTAAATTATGTGAATTAGCACAAGTGGGCACTGAGATCAAACCTAGTACCCTTGGGTATACTGAAAACATGCTGTTTCTAGACCTGAAGAAAAAGCAGTATCTCAGCTGACTGGCTACCCTGAGCAACTCTGATTAAATAAGCAGAGGACACTCAAACTCCAAAACCCAGAGTCCATGAAATTAGATTAGTGACAATAGACTTGAAAGAGACAAACTCAATTGTTAAACTCCCCTGCTTAAACAGTTTCCTCTCTCTCTCTCTCTCTTCTTGGCTCTAGAATAAAATTCAATCCTTTCTACACAGGTCCTCTCAATTTCATCACTATTATTCAATCCAACACACATCCTACTACTACACTGATCCTATCAGATCTCCCAAAAAATGTCAGTGTCTTCCTGAATTTTTTTCAGAGCCTCTGCACACTGGATCTATATATATATATAGTTGATTTTTTACAGAAAGGAAGAGAGAGGGATAGAGAGAGTTAGAAGCATCGATGAGGGAGAATCACCGATCAGCTGCCTCTTGCACACCCCCTACTGGGGATGCGCCCGAACCAAGGTACATGTCCTTGACCAGAATCAAACCCAGGACCCTTCAGTCGACAGGCTGACGCTCTATCCACTGAGCCAAACTGATTTCGGCTGGATCCTTTTTACTCTGATGCTCTATTCTGCCCTTACCCTCAATCTCTCCCCATCTTCTGATGGACCAACTCCCACTTAGGTTTCAAGACTAATAGAAGTGTCACATTCTCTGAGGCCTTCTATCAACTCCTTCAGAGGAAGTTCATTTTACTTGATATCACATTATAATATACATGTTTACATGCTGCCTTTTCTTTCTAGACTATGTGCACCTCCAAGGCTGAATTAGTGCTTTATTTATTTTATATCCACAACATCTAGAACAGTGCTATGGACACATTTCAATAGGTTTTGGCTGAATGAATATTTTCTGAAGAAAAACAAATAGTAAAATATTGCAAGAATGGCAAGTAATGTATTGAATCATGCATCTGATCCATACACATAATTGAAAAAATTCTATGTCTGTGAGCATAGGGCCAATAACAGCCAGTAGGTCTCGGAGATGAGCTGGATAAACTAATAGGAAAGATGGAAGACCATGCATGTGTTGAAAAGAAAGATTGCATTTATGTGCCACAGCTTGGGAAAGGACCTTAAAATGTATAAAGGACACATGTGTGATGAGAGGTGCTTTAGGCTTTAATCATATACGAAGAATAAATTTAAATATGAGACCAGGCAAGAAGGAAATTAAACTAGTCTAGAGCACCCTGGCAATGAACTTTAGAGTAAAGGAGTAGAACCTTGGCCTTGATCTATGGTGTGTGTGTGTGTGTGTGTGTGTGTGTGTTTATAGGGATTGGGGGAAAACACAATAGCTAAAGAAGAGATGGACAAAGAAGAGGTGAATATTGGAAAATGATTATATAGAAAAGAAGGAAAAATCCCACAATGTATTGAGCATCTAGCTTCACCCACTGTTGAATAAAGAACACACTTTTCCTATCTGTGCTTTTCAAACCTCCTTCCTGCTTAAGGAGGGATGCTTACAAATTGTGAGAGAAAATGAGGGCATGGGCTATTTGAACCAGATTCACAGATTTACTCTGGAGACTTGACAGTGTAACAGATATTGCAGCCAGACCCAGCCCCTCCTAAGGGCCTATAATATGCCAGACATTAATAATTTCAGCCTGATACAATTTTATGTTTTTTCCACCAAGATCCCACATCCTTAATATCCATTCTTACACATGTTCCCTGGATTTTTGCTCATATCCTATATAATAAAAGCCTAATATGCTAAGTATCCAGTTGTCTGTTCAGCAAAGGCTGCTCAACTGCTCATTATGATGTGTACCGACCACCAGCGGGAAGACAGTTGACCAATCAACCAGTCAACCAGTTGCTATGATGTTCAATAACCACCAGGAGGCACACACTGACTGGTAGGGTAGCTTGCTGCTGGGGTCCAGTCAATTGGGACTGAGCAAAACAGGCCAGACAAGCCCTGAAACCCTCCAGCAGTCCCTCCTCAGCTGGCCAATCTCCTGCATCCCTCCCTGGCCCCGATCATGCACTGGTGGGTTCCTCTGCCTGGCCTGAATCCTCTCACCATCATGGATCCATCAGGGGATGTCTGAGAGCCGGCCTTAGCCTGATTCCGCAGGCCAGACCGAGGGACCCCACTAGTTCACAAATTCGTGCACTGGGCCTCTAGTGGATTATAAAACTTAAGTAGTTCTTTTGGAGTGTAGCACAAACCTCCTTATAGATAACCCTTTTTACTTCACCATTGTGGGCCTACTGGAATTTGAACCTACTCATAGGTCTAGACTCTAGACACAAAGAGTGTGGTAAGTACGACCTGAAGAGAATTAGCATTGTCTTGGAAGGAAACAGCCCTAGGAGAAGCCATTACTTCCCTCAGACAAGTAGAGTTAATTCTCTCAGAGTGGAATAGGAGATGGAAGGGTTGCTATCACTGAAGGGGATATGGGTTCTACTAGGATAGTGTTCTGCAAACTCATTAGTCAACAGAGCCAAATATCAACAGTACAACAATTGAAATTTCTTTTGAGAGCCAAATTTTTTAAACTTAAACTTCTTCTAACGCTACTTCTTCAAAATAGACTCACCCAGGCCGTGGCATTTTGTGGAAGAGCCACACTCAAGGGGCCAAAGGGCCGCATGTGGCTTGTGAGCCACAGTTTGCCTATCACAGTACTAGGGGAAGCCACTTACACTGACAAAGAAGATTCATCTGAATTTAGGAGTTCACTGTGCCCAGTTTTATTAGGGTTGTCCTATTCCAACTTAACAGGATCCCATTCTTTTCTAATCAATGCTCTCACTTTAACAGCCTATGAGGCTGGGAGTTCAACTTGTGTTGTAATTCAGCGAATTATGAAAGAAGAGTTTATGCTTTATTTGTAGCAATCTTAGCCCCAGGGATACAGGCAACAGGGCTTCCATCAGGGCACACGTTGGAACTTTCAGGTCATTTATAAGGTGCTTGAACTGGGAATTCAAATCCCTGAACTCATCTGACACCTTCATCAGAAAGAATGTATGCACTCATATCTTCATAGCAGTGCAATTTAAAATAGTTAAGATTTGGAAACAGCCTAAATGTCTATCAGCAGATGAGTGGATAAAAAACTGTGATACATTTACACAATGAAATACTATGCAGAAATAAAAAAGAAAGAACTCTTTTTTTTGCAACAGCATGGATGGATCGAGTGTATTAAGCTGAGCCAAATAACCCAGTCAGAGAAAAATAAGTATCACATGATCTCACTCATATGTGGAATCTAGTGAACCAAATAAACTGATGAACAAAAATAGACCCAGAATCATAGAAACATGAACATAATGTTGAACCTCAAAGGGAAGGCAGCCTCCAATAAACTTGTAGGCATATGTACATAACCCTTGGACACAGACAATGGGGTGGTGAGGGGCTGAGGAAGGGACAGAAGTGGGCTGGAAGAGGTCAATGGGGGGGGGTGGGAGGGAAGGGGAGTCCATGTAATACTTTCAACAATAAAGATGTTTTTAAAAATCCCTGAGCTCATTCTTTTCTTTCATCACTTTGTCTGCAATATTATAAGCAACCAGCAATCTCATTATGTTAGTTAGGTGTTGTTGTTTTTTTTAAATTTTTCAGAAGTATCATATACACAGCCACTTGGATTCTTGCTTCTTTTAAGTGGTTGAATAGGTGCATCCAATAAAGATATTTTATGGATTTCTATTGCCCAATCACATCATGGACATTTAGTGATATCTTTACTACTAGAAACGGAATCATTAGCATCTTTAATCAGATTAGAGAGGAATTACAGGAACCCCAAAAACAATTCAGAAAATTCATCCTTAACATTCTGTTCCTCTAGAACCACTTTCAGTACCAAAATCTGTATTGAGCAGAGAGGGAGAGGAGAGAAGGAGTGGAGTGCTAGAAAGGGAGATTAATTTTAAGAAATTGGCTCATGCCCTGCCCAGGTTGTTCAGTTAGTTGGAGTGTCATTCTATATACCAAAAGGTTTCTGGTTTAATTCTGGTCAGGGCACATACCTAGGTTTCAGGGGTTCATTCTGGTTGGGACACATATGGGAGTCAATTGATGGATGTTTCTCACACTGGTGTATCTCTTTCTCTCTCTCTCTCTCTCTCTCTCTCTCTCTCTCTCTCTCTCTCTGTTTCTCTTCCCCCCCTTCTTTCTAAAAATCAATAAAAAACATATTCTTGGGTAAAGATTAATAATAATAATAATTTAAAAAAGATATTGGCTTACACAATTATGGAAGTTGAGAAGTTCTAACATCTGCAGTTAGCAAGCTGAAAACTCTGGAGAGTTTATGGTTTACTTCCCATCTGAAACTATAGGTCTGAGAAGCAGAACCGAAGGTGTGAATTCCAGTTTGAGTCCTCACCCAAAGACAGCAGAAGATCGGTGTCGCAGTTTAAGACAGTTAGGTAGAGAGAGTGAGTTCTCCCTTACTGAACCTATTTCTATGTCAGGCTTCAATGAATTGGATGAGGCACACTGGGAAGGGCAATCCCTCCACAAATACCCTCACAGACACACCAAGAATGATGTTGAACCAAATAGTTGGGCAACCTGAAGCCCAATCAGGTTGACACACAAAATTAAGCATCATTTATG